AAGTTTGTGAGTAAAGAGCGACTTTGGCCCAGTCAGCCAACTGTGAGCAAGTGGTCTTTGAAGAGAAGGGTGGTCAGAAGACATGCACACACTTTGCTTCTCGGCTGATTTCACAATTTTTTGGTCTTGGTGGTAAGGGTGTCAATCTCACCACCCAAGTAGTCGAGACGCCATTCAGACCAAGGCTGCATACAGTGGCTTGCGTGCTGCAGCCGAGGAAGGCATGGGTTTGATCCAGCATTCAACATTGTGACCTCAGTTACGACTCCCAAAACCGCTCGGTTCTCCGGGTGGTTCGTATCTCCCCTCAGTTTATCTTCTGATTGGTTGGACCCTCAGCGTTGCGAGATTGTGAATTTCTTTGGGATGCCGGGGGTGCCTAAGGGACTAAGAGAACATAGAAGCTTCTTGTTACTAGTAGCGATGGCCTCCAACCTACTTGCGATGGCCTCCACCTAAGAATAGCGTCCTTAGAAGACCTCCAATAAAGATCTTCATTGCCATGTTTGCACTGAATGTTTGATGCCGAATTTGGTTGCCATCGTGGACCCAATCGGCCCAAATTCGACGCCCAGCAGGCGCGAAATACACCTCAGCCATTTGCCACACAGTTGGCAAACGTGGGCCTATTGGCCCACAAGGTCCAAAAGGCAAGACGTTTGCTGGTTTCAACCTTGCTGCAGCCCTCCTTTGGCAAAGAGTACGACCTCAAGAATGAAACTGACATGCAAGAGCGGTGTTATTTCTTTAAACCGAAGAACAATTGCTTTTGCAATCTTTGCACAGGACATGCAAGTTGTGTCATTGATGATAGTTGATCCACCCGACTTGGGAGAGACTATCTAGAAGCCCTATTTTCCCAGTGAACAATTGCTTGAGAGTGACATCTTTGTACTCCTCTTGCTGGTGCAGGAACCATGTCCTCAATTCAGTCTGCCTCTATCTGTTGTATGGTGGCTTTTCTCTTGGGGATCACTGACAGTAGGTATCAGTATCGGACAAGCCCAGCCTTGCAAGCGAACTGTCAGGCAAACAAGGAGAAGAAGGGCCTGCAGGAGGTGTTGGAAAAGCTGGCGAGAAGGGTGACGTAGGCAGGATTGTCATGCTTATTCGGGTAACTGTACAACAGCACCAGGGTGTATCATACGTATCATACACATGTATAAACCTCGGGTCATGACATTGTCTTGGCCAGTGCATGCTGAGGACATTCTGACACTGATGCTCTTGAGATCATGTCCTGTGTCCAAGGCGAGGTTGGTCCTGTTGGTGAGCAGGGCGAAGCGGGAGAAGAAGGGCCCGAAGGGATTGCAGCGGATGTCACTGGCCTGGCCACCATGGGTGACTTGGAGTAGAATATGACTTAATGCAACTGGTGATTGGAGTGTGGGCCAATCTCGCCCGGATAGTCAGCATGCTTGTGAAATTTTGTGAGTCATCCGCCATCCGCACTATTCCGCACTCCCTTTATTTATATAACTCAAAATGTTTGGAGGACATCAGTCAGCTGGAGTGTGCTTTGCTTTGTCAAGACACATCAGAGATCATTGGAGCCAGGAGTTTGCTCCGATATTGCTTTATCAGAATCATGATTTATCAATATATATATAATTGTCCACGCCTTCTGTTTTACAAACCGCCATGCACGGAATGATGTATAATTGCGGGGTACGCAAACTGGTAGTTGCTGGCAGGTGCTTCGAACAGCTTTGGATCTGACCCTTTTGCCTTCTTGCGTAATCTTACGCCCATCAACAAGCCTGGACCAAGTATCTGTTCCACTCCGCTTGCCCCACTGGCAACTTGCCAATTGTTGGCCTGGGGCCTGAAGAAATGTTAGAGTACTTCACTTACTTGAAGGTTCCATGTCCTTTTTACGGATGACTGGGTAAGCCCGACACTAGATAACATCACCACCTGAGGATATTCGCAAGCCATAAGTATGTCCTTTAGGTTACAATATGCGGAAGGAGCGAAAAGATGAGAGGATTCGGTTGGACCTACGCTATCGAAACGCCAAGTGCACCGGCGTAGGAATGCCACAGTGTCCACATTTGTCCACACTGTTGGTACAGAAAATTGAGGAACATTGAGGAACACAACGGAAGCTATTCCATGTTATTCCCTTTCTTTGATTGGGAGGGAAGCTTGATCGAAAAGAAAAGGAGCGATTTGACAAATTGAGCAACTGCCTTGAGGAAACCGCACTCCCACTTAGAAACGAAGTAGACTCATCCAACAGCTAAGCTGGGGGCCTTAAGCACACATCCACACCTTCTTAAAACGTCATTTAGTGGAACCTAGCAAAAGACTGATTGATGTAGTTCCTAATAATCCTGTGTAGGCTGTCCTTGAGCAAAGTTGTCAGCTGGACCACTTGCTGCTAAGGGCAGCTCAACATCGCAGGGGGGTTGTGCATCCTCGTCACAGTAGCTGCTTGATCGCAGATATCTGCGATGTCTGCAGACCCTAGTAGCGATGGCCTCCACCCTAGTAGCGATGGCCTCCAACCTAGCAGCGATGGCCTCCAACCTACTAGCGATGGCCTCCACCCTAGTAGCGATGGCCTCCACCCAGTAGCGATGGCCTCCAACCTAGTGCGATGGCCTCCAACCTAGTAGCTATGGCTTCGACCCTACTAGCGATGGCCATTCTCCGACGTGTCTCTAAAGTTTGTTGAACTTCAGGCCATTGCAGTTATCCTGATGCAGAAGGCCTCACCAAAGTCAGGGCGACGTGCCAGTGGAGGCAGCAAAAGAGTTGGCCCGTTTGGAGTTCCCGAGAACCGCCTCTTTGCTCCTAGTAGCTTCTTGTTCCCAGTGGTGAGGCCAGGAGCCCTAGTAGGTCCTTGTTGCTTGAAGCTTTGTTGAGCTGCATGCCACACATAGGGACCACGTGGATGCCACTTGCAGGCCCTCCAAAGGAGGAGGCAGTGGAGGGAGAGGAAGGCGAGGCAATGCCTGAGGAGGGTGAAGAAGCTGCGGAAGGCGCGCTGGGCAGATATGGCAGATGACCCCGGTGCCATTTGATACGGATACCCTTTTTTTCAGCCCTCATGGACCCATGGAGGTCCGTTTATTAAGCGTTATTTGAGTAACTCCGGCTGGGTGATTGAAAGGATCCAACGGACGGGAGGAGCGCTTAAATCTGGAGTATCTCGATGTTTAGCAACTGCGACCATCAATCATATTGCTTTGAAACGCTGCTAAATTCATAAGAGCACGCCATCCTAACCGCACTCATTTCCACGAGCATTTGTCAGGAAGCTTCTTCACCCACTATATACTGTATAGTTTAAAGCGCAACGGAGAGGTTGCATGTTTCAAACAAGCTCGAGTCATTCTTTGGGTCCCACAGTGGGAGGATCATCAAGTCTTCTTTATCCCAAACAACAATTTTGCACTTTGATTACTAGCAACAAGAAGCTACTAGGGGCTCCTGGCATCGCTACTAGGAGCAAACTACGCTACTAGGGGCTCCTGGCCTTACTACTAGGAGCAAGGACGTTAGCCTTATTAAGCAAATGGGTTTCCATATTGGTAGCAAATAGCCACTGTCGAGTTCCGTTTTGCAGGCGAGCCCAGGGGGTGCTTCGGGCCAGCGGGGCCCCCGGCGGCCAGCCCGGCCAGCCCAGGTGAAATGATGGAAGAAGGAGAGGAGCAGCCGATGTGAGCTTTAAGGACCATCCGTTGGCAGCTTGTTGTTGAGCAAAGAGGAGTTGCTGGTAATTTTTGGTGGGCCGTTGTATGACAGATGTTTGTTAAGTAGGGCGGAATCTATAGAGTATATATAATATTATACAATTATAGTTTGTGGTGGTAATGTGTTCCAGATTGAGTGGCTTTTCTGCGTTGTTTCTTTCATACTCTAAAATATCCTAGACAAATCCTCGCTGTCCGTCACTGTCAGGGTTTGGGTTCTGATTTTTTGGGGTTATTGATCTTGTGACTTGTGATAATGTGTATATACTGTAATATATATATTTATACATCACCTGGGTGTCTCTTCTTCTGATGTGTTTGGAGTCGCCACTTTTTCCAAAAGACGCTCATTCATGCCTTATTCTATTGTTACTAGTAGCGTGGCACCTGTTACTACTAGCGTGGCACCTGTTACTACTCGGTCCCAGTTTATGTTTGCTCACGATGTCCGAAATTTCACTCGTCGTGTGGCTAAGGCAAGCCTCAGCCTTTGCTTGAGAGCGGTGAGACCCGCTGAAGCACACTGGGTAGGGCGAAACAGCCTGCCACAAACAGGCAACAGATGGCACGGACGTTTATGGTCTTGAGCATTCCTGTGTGTGTAATGTTGTGCACATGCTTTGTGATGGTGGATAGTGCTGGTATGCACGCAGATTGCAGACATCAGATCACACACACACACACAAGAACAGAAAAGTAATGAAAAGACATGACAAACAAATCTTTTTCAAACAGTAGAGTTGAATTCGGCCATCCCTAACAGTTCGCTTTGTCAAAAGTGTGCTACGACGGCGGGGGCAATGGTCTTGAGGCGAAGAGTTGGTAAGATCCTTTGAAAGGACATACTTGATCAAGGGTTGATGAAAGGCCTAGGCTCATTGAGAGCCTTTCTTCTTGTTTGCGAAAGTTATTTGTTCCAGCTCGCGAAAGTAGATATTTTTGCGACAGAGCGACAGATGGCAAAAGATAGATATATTGTATATGGAAACAGAAGACTTCTCAGATATACCCAATATGCCCCCGCGACAGTTAAAGACGGAGTTTGCGAAAGTAAAGGTGTGTGTGTCTGTGTTTTTCCTTTTTTCGCGACGAATTGCATTCGCGCAAGAAGGAATTTAGATCAACCACCATTGTGAACAAGAATTCCTTATTAGGATGCTGCTTGTACCTCAAAGGAAAGGACGAATATGCAGAATGCTGGCACACGGGAATTGGAGTAGGGGTACCAGCCAGAAGAGATCAGAGTGGTGAAGCAGTCCTCGCATTGCGTCAGCAATCCACTTTAAATTTGATTCCGAGGCTTTGACCATGGGCGAGGCAGTCTCTTTAAGCTGCAGCGATAAGGCAAGAAACCCAAAAGTCAGATTTGTTTGTCGGTTCCGGTTTCTTCTTGAAGGTTGCGCTTGGCTTTGTACTTGGTGCTTAAAGAGTATCGCCTATTTGTTCTGATTGAGGTAGCTGCGGGTGCCTAGTTGTAAAGTCTTCCTTTTTAAGATGGGTTCCGGCCTTTGGTTCTTTTTGGGCAACTCTCTCCAGCAGGTTGGTGATGACAGAGCATTCGGTGTGGTAGGTTCCTTGATGTGTTTGTCGTTGATGCAAGAGCTGCCGTTCTTCTCATGTCTCCCTACGCAAGACATTTGCGGTCGTCCTGGGCCCATTCCCAGAGTGATTTTTCGAGTGATGAGGCTGTCGCCATGTCAACCTCGTGGCAGTGTTCGAACAGTAACATTTGATTCGCAGCCAAACAGCTTTTTGCATGCATTGCACTGCACTTTCTAATTGTACACAAATATGGAGCATGTCGGAAATATGCCCTGTGGACAAGATGTGCGTTAATTCTAAAGCTTCAAAACTGATGTTGTTTTGTCCAAACACTTTCATTTCAATTCACTAAAGTTGCAGGTGGACAGGCACTGTGCTTGGACCAACCTAGATAGATCCATCGGTTATGCTTGCACCAACAGGTTGCTCGATGGCAGCTCCAAGGCATTGAGGGACTCCTTTTGAGTTCCTTGGTGCGAAGGCTCAGGACAGGTGTTAAGCAGTTCTGCGTTGAGGGTATCAAAATGAATCAAAATGATTAACACCAGCAGGTTTGGATGCCTTTTGTTTGTCGAAACAAGGTCCGAGGCCCACTGCGACTGAGTGCGCCTGTTTTGATTCAGGGCAGGCCAGTCACATTCCAAGCTTTATGTCAGTTGTTGTCCAAGCATTGCATCAAATTCAACACGAGCTATTAATGCTCGTGAAGGTGAACCGGCGTGTTTGCGTCGATGTTGTTCGCTATTGCACCAGAACCCATCTACTGGAACAAAGTTTGAGTGACAGCCTACCGACCGGAGTCTTGATGAGTGTCTATCGCATGTGCCACGATTCAGGTACGATCACAATCGGCCGCAAGTTTGACTACACAAGCTGTGTGCTTGCTTTTGGTCAGCGCCTGAAAAATGGGTGATGGGTAATCACAGGTCCAACGACTAGGTGACATTGTAATTGGAGCAGTCTTGCGGATCTACTCTACTTACCTGGGCAAGATCCACATACCAAGGAAGAAGAAGAAGAAGAAGTGTTCTTCCTGCAATGGTATTGCTTTTGTGCATGCTGAAGCGGCCCTAGTGTTCGCTTTCTCTATTTCTTAGTTCAGTTCATCTTGGGCCCTGAGTCACCTGCCTACCTGCCTAAGAGCCTCCAAGATTGTGGCCCTGGCCTAAGGATGGACTCCTCAACCTCCGACCATCTTGCAGTCTAGCCTAAGCTTCGAGGCGTGGTGTTGCCCAGTGGGTCCAAAAGAAGCTCAGACTAGAGATGTTTCTTAATTGGGGGCAAGCGGTTCCTGTGCACACAAGGGACCCTGAGCGGTGCAGGCAGCGCTGGCAACGGCCAGAGGCTCTTTGGCAACAGACTTTGAGAAGGCAAGGCCTGGGAGCTGTGGCTGCTATTAGCCCTTTCTTTATTGTTTGTCGGTACTTTTTGGTCAGGGTCTCCGGAACATAGTCTTTCAATGATTTCGTTTTTTGCACAATAGACTCCTTTATTAGGTGTGCAGTTGTTTGCAGCAGCTTCGCGTAGTTTTTGATGTGCTTGCATGCTAGTGCTGAAAAGTTGATGAAACGATATGAAATGTAATTGCTCCTAATGAGCTGTCAAGATCATTGATAAATTGCCATTTGAAGATTGGCAGCATGAAGAATCCGTCCATTCCTTTATATACTTATATACATATGTGTATATATATACATATAGTTACATATGAAAGAGAGCTTCGAGTTTATTGTGGTTAAATACAACAGAGGGTGCAGCAGCCCTTGCCCTTGCCCTGGTTTGCTTTATGCCATGTATTTTTACGTACCGTACAGTGGTACATTACATTGTGTATGATAATTATGCAAGAATCTTGTGCAACTGTTGATTGTTTGTTACCTTTCGTTAGTGGAAGTGATGGAGTTACCTGATGGATTTCAAACGCATTGGGCCAGTTCTGAGTTCATTTCCCTTTAACTTCTTCCTCGCGCCTTTGCCGTGCAACATGCAAACAAATCCTGAAACAAGCACCCAACGAGTTCTCAAATATCCAGCCACCCAAAAATGTATTGTATATATATATATATATTAGCATGCATTATTTTCTAATTTATACAGTTCTCACCCGGAACAAATGCCAAGAGAGGATGCGATGGTGATCAATGGATCTCATGGTATTGTGACGTTTTGTGGATTTGCCAGGGAGATGGAGTTGGCACCTCAGCTTTCCAACAGAGAAGCTTGATTGTCAGCCCCAGCGTATTAAAAGTGCAGTCTCAGACTCAGACAAAGCCAACAAGCAAAGACACTCCAACAGTCCGTTAAAGAGTCTCCAAGGATGAGAGCTACGTTTGGAGCGTTGGTGATGCCCAAGCATCTATGCATGATGGCAGGCAGAAGTGGGAGCATTCATGGATGTGCAAACGAAGCATCGGAGTGTAACGGTTTAGCATGTTCAGCACCAAAGCTACAGATTTTGTTTCATGAAGATTCCTGTTACTAGTAGTAAGGCCAGGAGAGCCCCGGGTAGGTGTCCTTGCTCCTAGTGATGCCCTTTGTTACTAGTAGCGTCCCTTGTTCCTAGTGATTGGACTCATCAGACTTGTTGGCCGGACAAATACATACTGTACGTACAACGGTCCGCGTTCTGCCAGGACTGGCGCAGCTTTGGACTGTAGAGGTGCGCCTGGTGCAAGAGCAGTTTGACGTTGACCGCAAATCAATAGCAATGTAACAATCCACACAGAGTGATGTTTGATATGAACCCAGAGAGTGTGTATGCACATGTCTACAATGAGTATAGCAGTTCTCCTCTCTGTCGTGTTGGCTTTTGTATTTTTCCTCTTGGCTTTGGTATTCCATGTAGATTCCTTGGGAAGCACTCCTTATCACTCCTTGGCATTCTCAATCGGACTGGACAAGTGCTCACTCTTGATGCAATAGGAGCCTCCCGGCAAGCTGCACCTCAAGTCGCCGGTGCAAGGCAGCGCAACGGCGCAACGGAGATTTGGGCTTGCCAATCATGCTTCACCTGCTCAGCAAGCTGACCGACTTGAACAGATTACTTCTACTAGCGATGGCCTCCACCCGAATAGCGATGGCCTCCAACCTATGGCCTCCAACCTACTAGCTGACTTGAACAGATTACTTCTAAGACTGATGCATTTGGTGCAGTTTGCTGGCGCTCTACAAAGCATTGCCCATGCCTTCGAGAGAGGAGAAGGCCAGATTCTTTAGGAGTGGTTGTGGTGGCCATTTGACTTAATCGACTTTAAGATTCAAGACCAGCAAGTCGACCATTTGCATGGGTTGGAGACCATCGCTAGTAGGTTGGAGACCATCGCTAGTAGGTTGGAGGCCATCGCTAGTGTGAGTCCAATTCAATGTAACCAATGCTCTCCACTGGTGAGAATGTCGCCCAAAAGATCCGGCGTTGCAAAGCGCTGCTCCTTTTCGCGGTTCCTGCAAGCGAGGACATGGCTTCTCCCTACAAGGAAGTCAAGAACCAAGTGGCCCAGAAGCTGGGCACAACGCTGGAGAGGTATCAAGAGCTTCGGGAATGATTCACTTGGCTTTGGTTTGACCACGCAGTAGTGTAATTAATTTGCCTGCCTCATCTCTTCTGGAGCCGTTGTTAGTTGGGTGGGTTGATGTACATCTCGCTGGAACAATTGCAGGCGGCGCCTTGCACTGCTTGATGCCTTCCAGAGCAGGTTGGGGTCTTTGGGCTTTGCGGATCTTTTCACGTTGATGGCAAGACCCATGTGGCAGGTGTGCACCTGAGACACTCTTTGCCCCTGATCCAAGGGTTGGAAGTGCCGACAAAAATCAGTGCACACTTGCCGGTTGTTTGTGTAAGGTGTGTGGGTTGCTGCCATGTTTATTTGCCTGGCGACAGGCATCAGTTGTTGGTTTCAGGTTGTGCCGTTTTTTCATGTATCATGCGTGCGCCAACCTATGCCCTTAGGTGGTTCGACGCACCCGGGGACAAATCTGGCATTGTGAAGGGGCACCAAGTTGATGAATTTTCGCAAAACAAGCTTTGGTGCCAAAGGCCATTGGTACCCGAGAAGGCGAAGAAGAGCAAGAAGCCATGAGCAAAATGCTATCGCCAACCCTTTCACCCCAAAACCCTGAAAGGACTTGGGCAAAGTACTTTGGAGGCTCAGCACCACTAGCAGCAGTCACTAGCATGACCCAGCGTCTCCAGTGCAGAAAAAAGATGAAACTGTGAATCACGCGCCCTTTTCACCAAAAGTGCCGACGGACTTAACTGGCACCCGGCAGCGTGGGCAAAATTGTTACGAGGGCACAGCGCCGCAAGCGCAGTCCAGAAACCTCACACAACTCGAGGCAAGCCCAAGAAGCCAAGCCGTGATGTCACGATGATGAAAAGAACGAAGCTGAAACATGCGTGCCATTGCCTTCTCTTACCCCAAAGCCCTGATGGACTTCCGAGCAAACCGCCAAGCCTAAGCCAGGCAGCACGGGCATAAGTGATTTGAAGACTCAGGGCCACATGAGCGAACCGTTCTTGAACCAACCTCTTCACCAGAAAACAATATGTAGCGGACTGCCCTAGCAGCCGAACCGCTTTGTGGACACATGGCTCAAAGCTAAGAGTACCTATCTCCTAACTCAAACTTGTATCTCCTCTTCGCTGCTCAAGCCAAAGTCTTGAGCCATGGTGGCTTGAACTCCATTTGAGTCGCGTCACGCGTCTGTTCTACTCAAATGGCCCAAGTCAGCAATGTCGCTCATTAGAACACTTAATTGATCCCAAAGTGACACGAACCAAAGCTTAAGTGCTCACCATATCTCACCATTATTTTATCTACTCAATCTAGCAGATGGCTTTGCTACCAGCTGGAATGCTGATTTTTTGTTTCTGTTTGTTGCGTCAACGCTTTTCCAGCTATTGCTTTTGCACGTTGCCTCGGGTGGGTACTGGGCCATGCCAATCAAATAGGAAAAGGCCCATCATAGCAAGTCCAAAGACACAGGCGACTGAGTGACCAATGAAACTATGAAACGTCCACATTCTGCAGACCTTTGATCAAGTGCTTTGATGGAAAACAAAGAGAAGCTAACCGACTAGCCTAATTATTTGGCTGTGTTTCACATCCAAAAATCCAAAGTGAAAGAAATTGTTGGTGACATGATGCAAATGAACTGAAATGAATTGAACACAATGAAGGTCATAAGACACTCAACTGACCCAAGTGATTCTGACCTTTTCCGTTGGTTCTTTCTTGCAAGCAGCCATGGTGCCTTGCCGTCAGTGAGTGGAGCCATGGCAAAGCCCGGGCCTTTTCTTACGAAAGAAGATATCTCCGGAACATGTTGATACACCAGGCAACAAAGTTTTCACCCGGGATTCCTGCGCATGAAGCGCTAGCCTTTGATTTTACTTTGGGTCTCACGGGTCCACCACTGAAAGAAAATCCCTCAGGAGTCCTTGGTGTCAAGCATTGATTTCGCATTTGATCTCGTCCTCCGCCCAGGTCAGAGAGGATTCCAGGTGCAAAGGGGCCAGATGTCCATCACCACGTACCATGTTCATGAAGTACGTACTGAGCCTTTCGTGGGGCTTAGTGGGGAAGCAAAACTTTGAAGGACGCACCTGACCTGACTTTCCGATAGTTGAGGTAGAGCCAGCTAGGACCTAGCCTTTTGGACTTTGGTAGGCGGTAGGCTACATGTTGCAGTGCATAATGATGATTGTATATCATTCCTACAAAGGTTGTTGGGTCAGCGTTGCACATGATGAGCATGCATAGATGCACGAGCGTCAAGAGCAGCTGAGCATATTATTCACAACGCAGGGCAAGATTGGCACAGTTGGTTGCTCAGGGGCAAGGTCCGGGGAGGTGGAAGAGAATTAGCTAATTTGCTCCTAGTAAGGCCAGGAGCCCCTAGTAGCGTCCTTGCTCCTAGTAGCGATGCCCTTTGTTCCTAGTCTTCTTGTTACATGGATCAGAAGAAGCTCCTTAGCATTCACAGTTGATTTGCCTCGACTCAGGCGACAAGGATCCTGGTGTTCCCAACTACTACTTTCTGAGGCCAGGAAGAACAGGGGAACAAGCAAGTTTTGCTCTGTGTAGGCCTCCATACGGAGTCAAATAGAGCGTGTGGCAAAACCCACCACTCTCAACCGCAAGCAGCATGATAATTGGCCAGGACAAGCAAACCGCTAAGGCTGAGCCCTGAGACTCCCGGAAAGGAGATCGGGTACGCAGAGATAAGCAGGTGATCTGGGAAGTAGGAGGATTAGATAAACCAGCCACCTGGTTGGGTTTGCTCTAGTCTAGAAGTTGAGTTTGAGTATTGATACAGCAAGCACCTCCAACAGACTAGGAGCAGTGCATCACGGGGGGTCCTTTTGCCAGTGCTCAAGATGTGCCCATCCACTAAAAGAGCAAGCAATCTTGGTGATTCTGTCCCTTCACCATGTTCAAAGAGCTTGTAACATAGTATAATAGGAGCAAGGACGCTACTAGGGGCTCCTGGCATCGCTACTAGTAACAAGAAGCTACTAGGGGCTCCTGGCCTTACTACTAGGAACAAAGGACGCTACTATTGGTCTCTTTTTGGAATCTTGAGGCTGACCGGCCAAGAGATTCCTTCACTAAGGCCAAAACGACTGGCGAGGTGCGCTGGATTGCTAGTGTACAGGATGTAAGTTCAAACCATCTTTTCTGATACAACATGCTCAAACTGGAGTTATATCAAAGACACCTTGTAGCCAGGCACCTTGTAGCCATGGCAGGTGGAATCGCTGTTTTGGCATGAATTGCGGTTGCCTCGTTCGGCGTCTTTCGGAATGAAGTGAAGGAGCGAGAGTGGTCCTCATTTGAGTACGGCCCCTGTGGAAAACCAGTCGCGGCCTTTTGATCGCATGGGATTCATGATGTGAAGGAATTGATTACTGAAGGATTTGACACTTGGATGTTGCATGATGTTACAGTGTTTTGTATCCTTTGGTGAAAATGTTGTTTGTGAAACGAACTCATTGACTTGCTTGCTTGAGTTTGTTTTTGTTTAGCATGCTTCTATGACGCTCGTCAGTCCCATCCTTTTCCGATCACCCCGGAACCTTCTCATCATGCCGACCAGCACAAGGCGCGTGCTTTGCCACGCGGGGCGGAGCACGTTGCGGAAGCCACTGAGCCTTGCGAGCCTGGCAGAGGACGGAGAGTCAAATTGATGTGAAATTGTCACAGTTGCCACTTGCTTACATTAGTTGTATCCCAGGGCACCTCAGGAACTTCAGGGTATCCAAAAAGCTTCAGCCGTTCGGGACATCGTCTTGAGTGGAGAAGCGTCCTGGCACTCAAGCCAGAAGCATGGACAAGATGTGCTTGGAGTTTGTAGGGTTTGTGTAGGAGTGCAGGTTGCAAGATATGCACAGCGAGGATGTTCGGTCGGTTGCTGCAGGATCTGGCACCAGCTTTCCACAGTGAGTCAGTGAAGGTCCTGAGGAGGATGAAGCGATATGAAACAATGTGCAGGAATATGGTTTAATAGCTTCTTGCTACTAGTAACAAGTGCATCGCTACTAGTAACAAGTGTATGTTTACTACTAGTAGCGATGCACTTGCTCCTGGTAGCAGAGAGTGTGTCAGTCAATGTGGTTGTGATACCTCGGGGCAAGCCTGAGGTTGAGGAGCTGCCGCCTGGCATCTACGAGTGCCGGTCAAAGCTCGAGGCTGTAGACCAGCGACATATACCGTGTTAGAGGATGCCGAGAGAGAAAGGAAACATGTCACATCCCAAATCGTACGTTGACCATCTAAGTTGATCTGGGTGAAAAGCTTTTCTGACGAGAACAAATGGCGGAGTAAAATTGTTTAGAACCTACGACCTACACCAGTGTCAGAATCATTGCAAAGGAAACGCTTGTCCCCCCTGTCCTGGGAAAGGAAGAAGATGGGAAGAAGTCTTAAGACCTAAAAGCAGAAAGCACAAGTCCGATGTTCTTGCATCCTGGCTTCGTTCGTAACTCTTTGGCCAAAGGCATTCCGGAGCGCAGCGGTGGAGGCCATTTCTATGGAGGCAGCAAGCCCACTTTGTAACTTTGTATAGGTTTCCCAATATTCAAGTGAAAAGCGGATTGAAAGAGGCATTATTATATACTGTACACGCAAACATTCCATGTTGTTTCGACATGTTTGGACCCCATCATTTTCATGACAATGAGGCATTCCGCATAGGCCATGCTCACAGTAGCAAGCATTTCTTCACGATATCATTGTATCATGAAGTTCATCGCCCTTGTGAACTTACTATATACGTACCTACCCAATGTTGGCCAGGAGCCCCTAGTAGCTTCTTGCTCCTAGTAGTACGGCCAGGAGCCCCTAGTAGCGTCCTTGCTCCTAGTAGTACGGCCAGGAGCCCCTAGTAGCGTCCTTGCTCCTAGTAGTACGGCCAGGAGCCCCTTGTAGCGTCCACAAAGCACTAGTTTGGTTGGATTCACTTGTATTGTTTGGTGTCCGAAGATGTGGGAAGTGTTTGGTCTCCATGAGGTCCGTTCATGAGTCGCTCTTCTGCAGTGTTCTTGTGAGGCTCAGATGCAAATCGAGCAACAGAGGTGGAACATCGATACGGAACTCTGACAGAGTTTGGTCTTCGTCATTTGTGAACATTAAGTGAAAAGGTTTTAACATTCGTGAGCAAAAGCTTGATGAGTGCGAGATTCTCCAATCGCACAGTTGCTTTGACAGGAAAAATGCGCCTTCGCCAAAGGTCCCTGGCTTACTTTGGATGCATGAAGCAACACA